CTGTCAACAAACCACCATCTGACATAGTATAGGGATGCCACTGGAACCTCTCGGGAAGAGTACTTGCCAATTACAATCCACTTTGAGAGGCAAACCAAGAGGGTGAAGGTAATGTGCCAAAGCAAGAAGACTAGAGGAAGTAGTATCCCAAGTTGAGTCGGTGCTCCATCATAGATGATGAGCTGGTAGCACCTGTAGGAAGGGGCTGTGCTTACAGATAACATCAAAAAGAGCAAAATGACGCCAACCCCCTGCAACAGAGTGACTACAGGCCAGGGAAGTCTTGTAGCTGAGGTGTCAAAGCTTGATACTTCAATGGGGAAGAATGATCCATGATTTGGGCTGAGGATGTACTCTTTGAGTGCAACCGGGGTTGGATATTGGTCAGGAAAGTCACTGGGGAGGGTGGCTGGAAAGGATTCAGCTAGCTTGTTGTTGAGCTCAATCAAAATGAGGGAAGTGAGGCCATTTTCATCCCATCCAGCATCTGGATCATAGTCAGATCCCAGGAGTGAAGTCATGATAGCATCAAACTTCTCTGAAGGAGGGAGATTGTGGCTAATTTCCTGGTGTCCATTACCCTCGCCTGCCAACTTAGATGACTGATCCAGAACAAACACAGCTTTGTGTTGATTTGCATGGAGCAGGTCTCTGTTTCTCCTTCTCTGTATCTTGCCACTGGTTGTCTTGGCTATGCTTCTTTCTTCCAATGCCACAATCTTGGAAGGAACAATACCAATGTCCTGAATGACCACAGATTTGATTGCCTCACAAACAGCCTGTGCAGTCATCTTGTTTGCATTCCTAATCTCGAAGACAACTTCAAGCTGGCCATCACCTTCACCAGAGTCATCAGAAGAGAAGGCTGCCACACACCCTGGCCTGACACCATTGCAATATTGAACAGCCAGCTCAATATCTTGGGGATAGTAGTTGGCCCCATTGATAATGAGCAGGTCTTTGATCCTGCCACAAACATACAAGTACCCATCTTGCATAAAACCAAGATCTCCTGTTCGAAGGAAGGTGGTGGCGCTATCAATCTGATCACTGTCAGAATCTTCTGGAGGGAGCAGCTTGGCTTGGAAGACCTCTCTGGACAGTTCTGGCTTTCCATGGTATCCAGCAGCAATGGAAGGACCAGCAATCCAAATCTCCCCTGTTTGGTCATCTGGAACCTCAGTTAGACTGACAGGGTCAACAATTTTCACAGTAAGGGTGTCATGAAATGTCTCTGTAGACCCTACTGCCAAGAATCTCCTTGTATCCTCACCCTGAGGCCTCGAGAGTTTGTATTGTGGCAAGTATGTTGCACCTACCACAGTTTCTGCCATACCATACCCAGTGTGAAACCAATCTTGTCGGAGACCAAACTCAGCGAAGGTCTCTGTGAATGTATCTCTGGTGTCCAGTCGAATAGGTTCGGCACCATTCTGCAATGCGTGGATTGATGAAAGATCAAAATTGGCAATAGGACTTTTTCCACCATTCTTTGATCTCTCCTCCTTGAACTTTCTGGCAACCAAGTGATAGGCAAAGTCAGGGGAAACCCCCAATGTAACTTTATTCTTTGACATGAGTTCCAGCCAAAGCAATGGTTTCTTGATGAAGGTTAAGGGAGACATCATGTGCATTCTCCACCCAGCAGCAAAAGGAACAATGGAGGCAAAGATCAACCCAAAGTCATGGTACTGATTGCAAACAGTGCAGTATAGTTTAGCCAAAAGAAAAAGAACCGAGGAGTGACAAGGTCTCTTCTGAATGTACCTGTGGCAACCAAGAGAAGCCAACAATATCATCAGCCCCAAGTCCATCTCTGGCAAAGTCATCGTAGATGGCATCCTGGAGGAGCTTCAAATTTGATTGTAAGGCTTTCGATGTCACCATGACTCCTTTTGGATCACCAGTGCTTCCACTTCAATCAATATAGAGAATTTTAGTTAGTTGCTGCACAGCATGAGAACAAGGGCCATAACGAAGCATGGTACTTACGATGTGTATTGGTAGAAGGCAATATCAGACTCAAGAATGTCTTCCTCGTCAAATTTTCCATCTTTTGTGAGAAAGTTGATACCATTGGTAACCTTGAATGGGATGCCCTTGGGCCACATTCCCTTGCTCTTTGAGAAAGGTTTTAGCTCATCCAATTTCTTCAATGCCATTATTGTTATGTCCGTCAAGATCAACACAGGCTGGCAGTCTTTGATGACTTTCTCCATCTTTGTGAGTGTCTTGGTAAGAGGTGGGAATGGAGGATAAACCAGAATGGCCACAACCCCAGCCCTCAAACAACCAAGGAAAGCAGCAAAAAAGTGCAATCCAAAGTTATAGCACAAAACCACCTTTTCTCCTTTCTTAACTCCCCATTTGTGGTGAAGGTTGTAGGCAATTGCTCCGGCTTCTTCCCAGAGCCTTCCAAAGGTGTATTCCTGACCAATGGTTCCATTGGCTTCATGCCATGTGGCAAAGATGTCATTCTGTTTCTGGTCAGCGACTGCCTTGAGTTGTCTGAGCAAGGTTGATTTGTTCTGTGCCATTATTATTGCTGTGAGGTATTGCAGCTGCCTTTTGGCTTTATTTGCACTGTGTTTGTTTCCTTGATTGTTTTTGTGATCATTGGCAATATCGGAATGATAGTGCTCAACATGCAGCGGCTGCATGGGTCTTCGTGACGACCTCTCTCAATCCCAATCGGTCTTCGTGACGACCAGTCTCGGGTCGGGTCTTTTGTCTAAGACTACTTTGGTAGCGTAGTTGAGGTAAAACAGATTTCATTTGAAGAGATAGCATGATAATATTTACCGCAGCTACCTCACATTTCTAGTAAGCCTACAGCCCAGCCCGTCCATTCCGAGAAGTCTTGGTCACTGGCACCGATTACCGATCGTCGCGATCGCGCTCTGCATCCAGAACTGCTAGCTACTATACTTCGTTGGGAAGGTTCTCTGTCGAACCTAGCAAATTCTAGCACTCTTACTTTTCGCTGCTGCATAGAATTTGATAGAGTGAGGAGTCCATGGTGCAAGGTTGCATACGGCGGATCTTTTTGTCCGATAGGCGATAGGCCTTGTGCTGGTAGCGGAATAGAGCCCATGCAACCAGGGGTGCCTGGTAGTGGAGGCGGGAGTGACTCATTTGATCGTACCCGTAGTTTGTGGATCGGAAACAGTCGCCCGAGGACAGAATAAAGAAAGATGCCGACAATGGCGGATGTGAATTTTACAGTTGTACACGCCGGCTGGTTGGCTTGGAGTATCCAGTAGAGCTTCTAAGGTCACAGATCTTCGTTCGTTCATTTCGTAGGCTTGGTTGTTCCTTCTCCGTTCATTTGCCCTCTCGGCTTATCGTCCGTGTACTCCTGCAGGCTCGATGTACTCGTGTAGTTCTTCAGTTCTTGTTGTTGCTTGTAAAGGTCGAGATAGTTGTCACACAAAGGTAGAGGAAAGTCGCTCAGCATGGGTATCTCATCATTGGCTAAGCATGCGGAGGGTAGAGGTGCATCAATGACACTTATTCACAGGTCTTGGTCTCGTTCACCTCGAAGCTCCTCGCTCGAAATTCGAAACTTGTTGGTACAGCCGTAGCGCTTCACTTCGCTCGCATGCTCTTTCTTGCAGGCCAGATCACTCGTGCAGTTCAGTTCAGGTTGTTTGGTGCTGCTACCTGCTAGCGATGCACTCCTGCGGTTCGATAGCGGCCCGCAGCTTCAGCCACAAGATGATGTTTGATGCTAGCGATGGACTCCTGTCAACGGTATAGCTCTAGTCGATAGCACGGCACGTGACTCCTGTACATAGAGTCATCCATCGTGTCGCGGTTGTAATTACTATGGGCTAGAGGGGACTATGGTGAGGGTGGGTGGCAGAGGAGGAAGGCAGGATGCAAGAACGCGAGAGTGAGAGGAGCAACATCTACACCAACGAAGGAGAGGGTGTCAAGGGAGGAGGGCGTTGAGGAACAAAGGTTCGGTTGATTCCAAGAATAGATCTAGATCTAGTCCTGAATTTCGACTCTTCTTCGCTTTTAACATTTAGATCCAAAAGAATCACTCGAAGGAACACTAGAAGTCTCGAGGTAATCTCAATAAAAGAATCAGACACAAACTCCTATTGGAAAGGGGTACCTAGCTCAGTTGCTCTTCTCTAAGATAGGGTCGCTAGCTAGAGTTCTCCAGACACGCGGCAGCTGCATCCGCTTCGAGTTTGTCAGGCGGAATCCAACGAATCGAATCGATTGGAAAATCTGGGAGTTCGAGGGGTAAGGGCTGCAGACTTGCAAGCAGGTAGCCCAATCAAAGAAATCAAATTCTGGCACAGAACAGAGTAGACCAACAGCCCATCAAGCAAGCCTTCCAGAGCAAAGGTTGACCCAGCTAGCTGAGATGAATACAAATGATTCTTAGAAATGCATTTTTGTCAACACCAGATTCAAACATGCTACCTACACCTACACAACCTCCATAGGTTCAGATTGGCTTCGGAGATTCTTCAAATTCACTTCCTCCCCATTCAATCTGGGTGGCACAAACTGCATTGGGTGAGTCTCTTTGCTTGAATCCTCCAAATCTGTGTTGGCCAAACAGAAGCTTCCCTCCTGTAGAACTCCAGCAACAGTTGTTGGTCCAATGTAAACACCATCATAGACCCAAGAATGCCCTGAAACAACGCATGAGTCAATGATGGTCTTGTCCTTGATTGTCACCAATGGCAAGTCATAGAGGCGAACTCCAAAGAACAATGCACGGCCCTCTACATTGCAGCCCATGCCTTGAAGGAACAAGTTAAAGAAGGGTGTGCCCCAGAAGATTGGAAGAAGGGAAAGTTCCCCCAGGCGGCAGTGCAAGTTCATGTAAATTGCGAACATGATCATTGACCAGGGCTTAGTTTGCCCTTGAGTTCCACAAAAGTACTGGCTTGGGTATGTAATCCAATGGAGTAGCATGTGGAGAAAGAATTGTGTTCCACAGAACACAGCAAGTGTCACAGCCATTTTGACAACTGGGAACCCTGCAGAAGGGTACCAAAGTCCAGTTGAAAGAGCTCAAAGGTTGGGATAAGACATAGGAAGAGAAAAGCCAAGATAAAAGGTGTGGCAAGGTCAATAGCCAATCGTCTTGACAGTGGCATTCTTGTTCCAGTTGTGGTAAGATCACCGTGGATGTCAGCTGTAACATGTGTCAATGGATTGACCTGGGCAGATTTGATCGTTACTCCACCATCAATAATGACACTGTGTCCAATGCTGGTGTTCTCAATGTGGATCTTTTTGTACTCTTCATCTTGTTTGACATCAAAATGTGAGAAAGATAGAGTAGACTTCTTGAGAGTGATCAAATCAACCTTGGAGGGAGGGAAGTGTTCACCCCACACCTTAGTTTCCATGTCAATATCCAAGCCCAGCAACCACAAGAAGGCATTGATCATGACTGTATTGTCTGCCACTAGGTCCAGAAGAACAAGGCTGGCAAAGAAATGATAGTCGACCATCCAGTCAAGCGATTCTTGGAAGATAGAGTTGTTAGTTACTGGACCTGGTTTTTGTTGTCCAATCAGAATCCATTTCATGGGAATGCAAACCAGTAAGTTTCCAATACCTGTGAGGACAATGATGAGGAATGCCCTCAACAGGGTAGCATAGCGCCACTCAAACCCAGAGAGTCCAATCGTGATGGCCCGCCCAGCAGACCCAGCAATGACAAAGGTCAAGTAGAGTTCCATGAGGGGCCCAACAATTTTGGCAACTCTCAACACAGCCATACTCTGCTTTTCATGCTCAGTGTTATTTTTGGGCTGTGACATGCCACTCTGGTGAGCAGGACTGCCTCTTGCAATGGCAGAAGTTGGGACCTGGGAACCCTCGGGGACTGCAGCTAGCTTCTCCACTTTGCTGCCATCACCAAGTACCACACCAGGACCTACTTGCCCTTCCACCACACAACCATTCCCAATGCTGATTGGCCTGAACCTCAATGTGGGAGACCCAGCATACCACCCAGACTCCTGCCAGGGTCCAAACTTTCGACATTTGATCCCAAAACTGATCTCGGTGTTTTCACCAATCTCCAAGAGATCGAACTCTCGAAGGAAGCAATCCAACTTGGCAGAGGAGTGAACCTTGCAGCCCATCATTGAATAGAAGAGCCACAGCCATGGAGTGCCAATTACATACCTGCCAATCAACATCTCCCACAGGTGCACTGCCCTGTCAACAAACCACCATCTGACATAGTATAGGGATGCCACTGGAACCTCTCGGGAAGAGTACTTGCCAATTACAATCCACTTTGAGAGGCAAACCAAGAGGGTGAAGGTAATGTGCCAAAGCAAGAAGACTAGAGGAAGTAGTATCCCAAGTGCAGGCGGTGCTCCATCATAGATGACGAGCTGGTAGCACCTGTAGGAAGGGATTATGCTTACAGATAGCATCAAAACGAGCAAAATGACGCCAACCCCCTGCAACAGAGTGACTACAGGCCAGGGAAGTCTTGTAGCTGAGGTGTCAAAGCTTGGGACTTCGACGGGGAAGAAGGATCCGTGATTTGGGCTGAGGAGGTACTCTTTGAGTGCAGCTGGGGTTGGATATTGGTCAGGAAAGTCACTGGGGAGGGTGGCTGGAAAGGATTCAGCTAGCTTGTTGTTGAGCTCAATCAAAATGAGGGAAGTGAGGCCATTTTCATCCCATCCAGCATCTGGATCATAGTCAGATCCCAGGAGTGAAGTCATGATAGCATCAAACTTCTCTGAAGGAGGGAGATTGTGGCCAATTTCCTGGTGTCCATTACCCTCGCCTGCCAACTTAGATGACTGATCCAGAACAAACACAGATTTGTGTTGATTTGCATGGAGCAGGTCTCTGTTTCTCCTTCTCTGTATCTTGCCACTGGTTGTCTTGGCTATGCTTCTTTCTTCCAATGCCACAATCTTGGAAGGAACAATACCAATGTCCTGAATGACCACAGATTTGATTGCCTCGCAGAGAGCCTGTGCAGTCATCTTGTTTGCATTTCTAATCTCAAAGACAACCTCAAGTAGGCCATCACCTTCACCAGAGTCATCAGAAGAGAAGGCTGCCACACACCCTGGCCTGACACCATGGCAGGATTGAACAACCAGCTCAATATCTTGGGGATAGTAGTTGACCCCATTGATAATGAGCAGGTCTTTGATCCTGCCACAAACATACAAGTACCCATCTTGCATGAAGCCCAAGTCCCCTGTTCGGAGGAAGGTAGTGCCAGTACAGGAATCATCCTGATCACTGTCAGAATCTTCTTGAGGGAGAATCTTAGCTTGGAAGACCTCTCTGGACAGTTCTGGCTTTCCATGGTATCCAGCAGCAATGGAAGGACCAGCAATCCAAATCTCACCTATTTGGTCAGCAGGAAGTTCATGTTTGTTGACAGGGTCAACTATTTTGATGTCCACACAGGGATGGAAGGTTTGTTTGGAGCCCACTGCTACAAAGCTCTTCGAGTCCTCTGGTTGTTGGGTGGATAGCCGGTGTTCATTCAACCAGGACACAGTGACAACATGTTCTGCCAAACCATAGCCACTGCAGAACCATGATTTCCTTAATCCAAAGTCAGAGAATGTGGAGCTGAACTCTTTGTGGGTGTCAAGCCTGATTGGCTCAGCCCCATTTTGTAGATACTGGATGGATGACAGGTCAAGGTTTGGAATTGGACACTTTCCTCCTTTCTTCAACATCTCCTCTTTGAACTTTCTGGCTACCAAATGATAGGCAAAGTCAGGGGCCACCCCCAATGTGACTTTATTCTTTGACATGAGGTCCAACCATTTTAAAGGTTTCTTGATGAAGGTTAAGGGAGACATCATGTTCATTCTCCACCCAGCAGCAAAAGGAACTATGGAGGCAAAGATCAATCCAAAGTCATGATACTGTATGTGACAATTTATGTTTGCGATTTGTGTTTGTGAGCTGACTGAATCAACAGAATGTACACCAAGCTCCAGGACAGAAGACATATCGTACCTGTGGCAGCCAAGAGAAGCCAACAATCTTGTCCATATCAAATGCATCCTCAGCACACTTCAGGCTGAGACCATCAAAGTTGATCTGAACGTTGGCTTCCAAGGCCCTGAAAGTCACCATGACTCCCTTTGGATCACCAGTGCTTCCCCTGCAATATTGAACTCTTGTTAGTCCTTGCCTATTACTTGACTGACAAAAGATGTGTTGTGTATTTATGGTACTTACGATGTGTATTGGTAGAAGGCAATATCAGACTCAAGAAGGTCTTCCTGGTCAAATGATTCCACTGTTGTGAGAAAGTTTGTACCATTTGTAACCTTAAATGGAATCCCCTTTGGCCACATTCCCTTGCTTTTTGAGAATGGCTTTAGTTCATCCACTTTCTTCATTGCCATGATGGCCATGTCAGTCAAGATCAACACAGGTTGGCAATCATTGATGACTTTCTCCATCTTGTGAGTGTCTTGGTAAGAGGGGGAATGGGGATAAACCAGAATGCCACAACCCCAGCCCTCAACACCAGGAAGGCGCAAAAAAGTGAGCCCAAAGCCATAGCACAAAACCACCTTTTCTCCTTTTGACTCCCCATTTGTGGTGTAGGTTGTAAGCAATGGCTCCGGCTTCTTCCCATAGCCCTCCAAAGGTGTATTCCTGACCAATGGTTCCGTTGGCTTCATGCCAAGTGGCAAAGGTGTCATTCTTTTTCTGGTCTGCAACAGCCTCGAGTTGTCTGAGCAAGGTTGATTTCTGGAGTTGCATTGTGTTGATTTATTGAAGCTGCGTGTTGGCTTGATGTGCTTTTTGTGTCGCTGCGATTGTTTTTGTGAGGTTGGGCTCTGCGAGAGTCTTTGGTACGACGGAGCAGCGCGTCGTCGGTTGCCTTGGATCCTTCCATCTTCCATAGCTTGTTGTGATCCTCGGAATTCGTCTGTCCGTGGCGGTTGGATCTTTGGGTCCCATGGGCCTCGTCAACAATTAAGGGACAAGTTGCCCTTTCAGTTTTCCAATCTTCCAGAATACTTATTGTTTTGTTACACGGGAAAATACATCGTTTCTCGCACACGAAACGGTGGTAAATTACACCTTGACACGGACCAGATCTGTTAGAGCCTGGAAGTTACCCAAATTCCGGAGTTTGCTCTCATGTCATCCCACACCCCTCACCGTGATGCATCCGGCATGCATACCGGTTTTAGAAACCTGGAGAACCACGAAAGAGCCATCCGGCGCAGAAGGAACCGTTCGTTGCGGGCTATCAGATAGATATCATCTTAGCTGATATCGATATCAGGTATACTGTGCGGAAGAAACAAAGTACTGCAGTAATTTCACAACATGCAGACAGGAGGACCAGCAGAACCCTATCATGAGGTGTCCAGCCGAGAAGATCAGGCTTTGAATTGGGCGATTTAGAGGTCACCACAAAAGGGGGAAAAAGAAAATCGGATTCAGACAAGCTGTCCTTGAGGACGACCCACGAGCTGAGGCTCGGGTATTTCCCACAGTCAAGTCCGCTCACCGGCCACACGCGTCCCGGAGGGTGTGCAACTGCTTTAGTATGCGATCTAAATGAGTAAACTCCATGGCTACACCACTGGAACCATAGTGGATGCTCATTCCAAGCGTTGAAAGGTTGCGGTCTTTCGTGAACACAAGGGAACTTGAAATGATAGAAGTTGGAGGTAGGAGGTTGAAACAAGGCATCTTCTAACCACAAAACGACAGCCGTGCGGAATTTAACCCAGGACACAGAACCATCAATCCAATGGCGTATCCTCCTTTGGTGGATGCCGAGCCTCCTTCGGTGGACGCCGAGGAGGCTGGCTAGCTACCGTACTACATGTACACAAAGGATTGGAAAGTTGCGCACAGAAAGATAAACGTTTATCTCTATACAGTATTCGAGTTCGTTATATTAGTCGATCGTAATGCTGTGTGTATTTGGGCATCCTTTACTATCCCAATACAACACTGCATTACATTACAATACCATAAGGTAAGTAGCGTGCGTTGTTATGAAAAAATAGACTTCACTCACGCGATATCCGTGACGGGCGGCGGGGGCGGTGCCAGATTCTTGCTGCTGTTGGTTTTGACCAATTTTCGTTCCGACATGATCTTTTTCATGGACCGTAGCATGCCTCCTCGTCCCGCTGCCTTTGGTTTTTCTTCAAATGAGCGAGACTTTTTAGGTGGTGCTCGGTCCCTTTTAGTACTACTAGAACAAGTAGTATTGGATTTCTTGTCGGATGCTGTAGTGGCCTTGTCGGCACTACTGATCTTTTTGGTGGCCAACCGTGCCGATGCCGCTCGTTGGAGACCTCCTTTGCGTGTTGGCGTCGTCGTAGTTGGTTGTTCCATGTGGCGTAACGATGACGTTCGCGCCAAGGCACTCTCGCTGGTTTTCTTGGTTCGTAATGGTTTGGTGTTAGATTTGGTGTTGGTTGCTGGTGGTGGTGAGTTGGGTGGTGATGATGATGATGATGTGGAGTCCTTTTTGATGACAATTTTCTTTTTGGGTTTTCGACTGGGCGTCACGGGTGGTTGTTGTTGTGTCTTTGCTGCCGTGGCTTTGTTTTTATTAGTGGGTGCTGTAGTGGGCGGTGGTGGCGGTGCCTTGTTTCGTGATTTGGGTTTGGAATCGAGCGGTGGTGGTGGCGGTGGTGGTTTGGGCACTAGTCCTTGTTGAATGCGTTCTTTGTGTGTCAAAGATTTGCTAGTGCTGCTACCGACAGAGGCTTTTTTGCTCTTTTTCGGCGTGGCGGGTCTACTGCTAATGGCGGTACCGGTTTTCTTGGGTTCCAAAGTGGGTGGCGGCGGCGGAGGAGGCGGCGGCGGTGGTGCTTTATTGCCATTGAGATTTTTGGGACTCTTGTTTCGTCCTCGTGAACTCATGTCTCGTACACTAGTGTTCTTGGCATCGTCGGCAGATTTGGTCCGTCGCAGTGTCCTGGCATTAGTGCCAATATCTCCCAGAGACCCTTGGGCTATCGGCAATTTGAAGGCATTCATTTTCATCATGTTGGCAATCAAGGCATCTTTTCGAACCTGAAGACTCTCGTGTCGTGGTGCCACAATGATCAGAGGCGATGCCTTGCCCATCGGCGAGAACCGGTGCGGCGACCGTATTGGACTACAACTACGAGTTTTCATCGGCCGACGATTCATGGTGGCTGACTGCTTCTCCTTCTTCGTCTTTTTGACTACAGAAATACTGGGGGTGACAGAAATTAGTTCGGAAGAGGGCTCTGGGTGCTTCATTGCTCTGGGCTTTCCTTCCTCAGGCATCTATCTACTAGTATCGAGATTGTGATACGTAGCTTTCGTTGTGGTTCTTTCTTTCCGAGTGTTTGCTCTCTTGATCTTGGTTTCCTGTCGGGTCTGCTGGCTACGATACCGGTAACAGCGTATCTAACAGGGTGGGTATGCAGTCAGTGGTTGATGGAGCTTTTGTGGCGATCATGACACTGGTTTTCACGTGGCACATGCAAGCTTCCCATAAATACGGATCTTGCCCCAGTGTTTGACACAGTCATACTGGGTTCATTGTGCTTTAACAATACCTAACTAGTGAATATCAATATGACTATTCAGAAATATGAGACTTAAAACAATCTCTTCCGCAGCACCTGGACAAAAATGAGAGGAATCACTATGAGTTATTTGTACTGTCATAGCGGTCCAGTGCTGTTTTTTTGTCTTTTCAAGGTCGGATGCAGTCTTAGACACTGCCCAAATTGCATCATGGCGCACTCGTACCAGTCTTTGTCGGTGGAGGTGAAGCGTGGAGTACAGCAGCTGCTTACAAGTACAGCCCCATCCAAGAGAAATGGATGTTGCCATGATGTATGTGCCAAATCAAATGAATGAGATCAAAGTGAGATGGTGGAAGAGATGAGGGGCACCAGAAGACCGCGAGGATCTCAATACAGCACTATGCATACGTAAGATCGATGAAGACCAAACAGGAGAGCTACACATCAGCTCTTCTTGCTTGTTCTGTTCTGTGGAGGATGCGTTGCTCTTCTCTGATGCAGGTAGTAGGAACACGTTTATCGGGCACTCTACGAGCTACTAGCTAGCTCTGGATGAGGCTAGCATCCACTTCTTGTTGCTTCTTGTTTTTAAGGCATTGTTGGGGGAACAAGCAACCCTCAGGCATTCTTGTATCCCAGTTACTGGTACACACCTAGTAAAAAATGAGGTTGGCTGGTCATAACGATCGATGGCTCTCCCTCCCTTGTCTCTGTTTCTTTCATGCAAGTGGAATCGGTTCCACTAAGACAGGAAACCTCTTAGCTAGCTAGTACTACGATTCAGCCAGTCGATGGCTTCGGCCAACTGCTGTGAAAGCAAACAAGGCACATGAAAGAATCTCGCTCAGCGTTGTGTGGCTAAATGTTATGTCGGCTTCATGGTTCTTGGGATCTCAAGCTTTCAAACCACCTAGTAGCTAGCTAGTTAGAGCATAAACTACCGCGTGGCTAAAACCGTGGCTAAAGGCATATCTTGACCTTTAGCAGCAACTTTAGCCACAATTGAATCTATATAGTAGCAGACTCATTTCGCTCGCTGGCTGCTTGGGCTACGCACGAGTAGTGGTACTAGGTGTGGAGTGGTTGCTTTGTATGGATAGTCATTTCAAGCAAGATGCAAGAACAAGAATGATCCAAACTGTGAACCATCTAGATTCTGATTGCAACCAGAGACCATTTATCACCTTCCCGCCCCAGAAGGAGAGGCGCAAAAAGCCCTTTACCTACACACAAGCAATCAAACAACAGACAGTCAGCCATCGAAACGAAGGCTGCGAAATACATTCAGCCCTGAAATATTTTCCTTCGGCGAAGATGTTTCCTTGGAGCAAGCAACTACCGTACCAGGAACTCAAGCAAGAAATCAGACTAACGTTAGTAACAAAGGGGAAGCGCCTTGCTACCATAGCTACCGGTGGCTAGCCAGCGGGAAGAATCCAACAAGAAATCAAGAATGATTGAATTCGATCATCATGAAGCGCTTCCCTTATACACACAGCCAACAAACAAAAATTAAAGGACGAATGATCAGAACAGGTTTATCTGTTGTTTGCTTTTTATCCACCACTTCTCACGCACAAGCTGCGAACTTGGTTGCAATTGGATGCAGCATGTCTCCTGCACGCGAGCCGAGTCACATTTTGAAAGAAGTCCCGTACCGGTCATGGTGAAGTCCCGTATCTACGATAATTCCCTCGTTCTTTCACCGTTGGTGGCAACGACCCTACCGTACATTATGCGAGGCACCTCAAGGTGAGTTGGCGCTTCCACCCCAACCCAACAGAGCATTTTCAAGGTCCTCCTGGACGGGACGGAATCTGCAGTATTCTGTACGAAATTAGAGCTTCTCTCAACGATGGAATCGAATGGAAGCGAAGTAGCAAAGCTGTATGTAGAGTAATTCTCTAGATTTTTTAATTCTAAAGTAATTAATGGACATGCATACAAGCTGCTCATAACGATTTGCAGCACACGAGGATAGAAACATGTAGCGTGTCGTTGTGGGGTCGACTCCTGACGATTTTAGTGCTTGCAAAAGGACCGCTTCTGTCTTCTCCACGACAGTTTGGCACGTGAAAGGGCGCAAGTTGTCATGTTTGCGGTGTCTGGATCGATTCACTTTAGGCTGACAAGGTGCTAGCCTGCACTCCTGGCTGTTCTTCATCTGGTGAAATTTCGGGCTCTTCTGCCGTGTTGGCTACCTCTTTCATGAGTTCTTGCTCTTCCTTGGCAAGATCTGTGTTGGGGGCATCTTCACCAGCGCTTTCAATTTCCTTGGGGGCAGTCGCTGCTTCAACACCATCCACGTCCATCTCCATAATGAGCGTCAACTCGGCAACAGCCCAAGACGCTAGGAAAGGTCCGATCCAGTAGATCCAGTACGCGTCTCCCATGACAGCTTCGCAGTCTCCACCGGCCATGCAAACCACAATGGAAGGTCCAAAGGTGCGAGCTGGGTTGACACCGCATCCCGTAAAGGCTGTTGTTGATTTTTTGTTTGTTTTTTAAAGAAGAAAAAATGCATTGAATGGGTTAGCAAGCACCAGATCACCAAAAAAGAGATACACCTTTGAGTTTATTCCAGTGAACTTACGAATGAGACAGATGTGAACCACAACCAGAGAGAATCCAATGGGGATAGCTGGGAACATGGAGTCGGCAATTCCCCTCTTATCCAATGCAGTTTGAGCGATGACAAAGAAGAAGACGACAGACCCCATAAACTCCAACAAGAATCCATTGCCGGCGGTCATAGTAGGGTCCAACGTATTGGCTCCCAAATGAAAGGGTGGGCGTTTGAATTCCCCATTCAACACTGGGTCCCCTGCCAGGCTGGAAACACATCCCCATGTCAGAGAGGCGCCCAAGATGGCACCCACAAACTGGGCAATCCAGTAGAAGATCATCTTGGTGGCCGACATCTGACGACGGAAGAACATCAAGAGGCTGACCGCCGGGTTCATGTGCCCGCCAGTGAGGTGACCGATGGAATAGGCCAACGTCATGATGGAAATTCCAAAAGCCATGGCAATGGGCAAGACACGGCCAACATCTTCCGCGGCACCTTGACCGAGAGCGAGCTTCTTGCCGGTGGATGAAGCACTCAATGTCCCACTAAAAATAAAGAGGGTAGTGGCCACAAACTCCACAAAGGCATCCCGAAAGAGACGCTTGGTGTTGAAGGTATCATTGGGTTGACCGTGTTTCAAAATTCCGAGAAGAGCGAGCACCATGGTGGATGTCTTTTTCTAAAGATAGTTACTTCTGTTTGGTTTGTATTAGTTTGTGAAGACTGTGCTTGAAAAAGACTCGACTCGACTCGACTCGACTCGACTCTTTCGGGCTTGTCCCAAGATTTGTGTGTCGAGGAGAAAGAAAATGAAGAACATGAGCTAATAGAAAAGGTTTTGATTGAGAGAGAAAAGTGTCACGCTGTCACGCTTTACTTTAAAAGGTCATTTCCACAAGTCCCGGCAATTGTACCGTACCACAGGCAGCAAGGATCCAATTTTTACATGTACCGCAGCAATGATGAATGATACGAATTACGAGCCAGCCATCTGCCTCCTATAATGACTCGGAAAAAGGCATACGTGGTTTCCGGTAAAAGGTAATTTGAGATATAACAGATGGATTTTGAAAACTTCCAAAAAGTTAAGATTTAACATTCAGTAATTCCATTAATCAGGCTCTAATTCCTTACTGCAACCTAAATAATGATTTTAAAACAGAGGTTCAAGCCTTGCTACGAATCCGAGAACAAATCGGACAATTCGTTGAGTTCTTTTTCCTCGTAATCTTGAGGTGACCACTGAAGCTCCACTGACTAACAGTCACTTCTCGGAGATCAGCGACAGGGTCCAGAAACGCAACCCCAATGGTTTTGACAGTCCGAAAGTGTAAACTGGAAGATTACAATTGTCAAAACCAAATTGAAAGGGATGTTTTGCTTTTATGGATTTCACAAATTGGTGAAACCAGTTTCATAGGAGCGGGTTTCCGGACGTTGCAACGTCTCCTAGCGAAATTGGCTCACAGGTGTTCTCGTTTTGCCTGATTAGCTTGTCTTTATTGCCGAGCAACGTGCCGAGAAAACCACTGAGAACTTATGAGAAGTTCCACAAGAGGACCGATTACGTACGAGCAGCTTCGATTTTATTGATTCAAACGCGTGCCACACTTTCTGGTACACTTCTACGAGAGGTCCTGTAGAAGTGTACAGAGAAGCTCGGCGCGCGTTTGAATCAGTAAAAGCGAAGCTGCCTGTAGTCATGTTTACTATAGCAAATACAGTTCTCTACTACCTCTGTAGCGTGTGGTACAAAGCCTACACGGCTACGACACACATACCACACGATACGTACGTAGCGTGTGGTACAAAGCCTACCCGAACCACGACTCGAATGAGTCCAATCGCTCGCGGTGCGCGCAATTCGAATCGCGGCACACCCATTTTTAAGATAACACATTTTTGATTCCCACCCTTGTTTTTTTAAAAAAAGCTATGACATACTTTGAAAGGGTACATACTGTGCCTACACGTACTTCTTCACAATCCCCCCTGGAGTGCATTGTGACTGGTCAGTTTTGCCGGTACCACATCACTCAAAACATACATGTGCAACTAGCTAGATGCCTTTGTCCAGACTCTACTGTAGCTTATTTTAAAATCCTCCTTCTCCCCTCTGGAGCCCCTTCAACTAATCACTTTTTTGCGGGTACCCCCTGAGAGAGCTGAAGCTGTCAACTGCTAAAGCTCTGCCATCTGCCAATGAGAGCTCAATGAGACTGATGAGACAGAGAAGCCGACAGAGACCATTGAAATTGCCAGCTTGCCAGCAGTTGCCAGTTCGCAGCTGCGCCGTTGCAGTCATACATCATGTTGTAGCTAGCTAGCTAGTCTACTAGAAACAAAATTTAATGGCAAACTCAATAATCAAATCCAACTCAACCTGTTTTGATTTACAGTGTTCGTTGGTTGACACTGGTGTAAAGAGTGACAGCAAGCAAGGTGCCGCATTGGTAGCCCCCCGCAACTACGATGCGGAACAACACAGGAGCGGCAGGGAACCAATGCATTGAACCCAGCCAGGAGTCTCGATTGGACGTGGAGAAGAAGGAAAGATGGCAAGTTCATTATTGTCGGTTATAGGATACCGGTAGGGGCTTACCGGATGTTCTCACCATGCTGACATAAACCACGATTTCATAAGTACCACAATAGCCCAAGCACTGATGATTCCCATGGGGGGTGAAAAAGTCAAACAACCAAAAAAGTTACCCACAGTAAAGCCTGTGTTTTGGTGATTGATCATTCGGCAGTTTGTGCTTACTACAGATCCCGATTGAACTGGCCAAAAACCCATAAACACAAAAAAAAACTTGTTGTGTGTAGACGCAGTACAACTTCCTACGCAGATCCGAACTGCTTTTTATTTAGCTCTCTCATTCGTGCCTCTTAACTTACCGTACATGTGGTAACTTCTCCATTTTTTGGGGTCTGTTGAAGATTCTTACTTGTAGGCGTTGTACACAATTGCTACGAGAACAAGAAAAAAAACTCAAACTGAGGGTGTAAAAAGTGGTTCGGTGGGTTTTTGGCCAGTTCAATCGGGATCTGTAGTATCAAGAGTTTAATAAACTACTTTTAATTCAGTCACTTTTTGCTAAAATCGTATGACTCTATAGACTACTCGGAGTGCTGAGAAGCCCTTGGAAAAAGCCACGTTTAAAGGTTTAGGTTGCTCTGCCATTGAAACAGGCAGCCAGCTGCTGCAAACTTGTGCACAGCGCGGTTGCAAACATGATGAATCCCCCGCGACAAGGAAACCAGCCGCAACATCAGTTCTTCTTACCCTAGTAGCTTACCGGTAGCTTAGCTTGGCTTAGCTCAGCTTGGTTGATTGATAGGCAACTGCATCGCCCGAATTTGCAAGCACTACTATCTACTATTGCCGCTTGCACTCTGCCCATTGAGCTGCCCAATACTCGATGGTGCCGAAAGTGCGTGAGGCTCCAAGGAGATCTCAGCCAGCTGAGTTACTAGACCAGAGTCTAATTGGCTTTGCAGGAAAGGGAGCTGGTTTGATGCTATTATTATAGACAGTTTCAACTGGAAATGGATCCCTAAGTGACTCTCAACGGCCTAAGTAATGGACCGAAGGCGTGCTTGCGAGCAGGGTGTGCCTTAGGATAGACCGAAGCGCTCTTATTTTAGGTCTGCCTGCTGTACCGGTACCGGTACACATGACACAAAAAACGTTTTCCCATGTTCGGCCCCTCCTTCGGGCACGATTGGCACAAAAACGACGATCCAGTGTTTGCATGGAGCCACAAATCACACAAGAAGAGCAGCGAACTAACAACCAAATAAACACCAACTGAAACCTAGAATGGAGACCATGGACGGAACAGGAAAGACCAACACGAAGGCCAGTGCGAAGCCTCAGGCGGAGCAATTGATAAGGACCCCTTGACAATTCAAACAAGCATCACCGACGAGACAGCACTAACCGAACAGCTGTCCGGGTTGTCTCTTCCTCCAGAAACCCCAAAGAAGTTCGACATTGACGATATTACCAAGAAGTGGAGTCCTGAACAACTACGTGACAAGCGGACAAGTTCCGAGAAGTCAAAAGTTCAAGGCAGAGGCGGCAACTATGCATACCCCTTGATCGGCGGCGACCACATCTGCAACGGTCGTGGCCAAGCGCTAACACTTTCCTTCTGCTTTGGGGGACCGGAGAATTCTCCTTATGCGGGAAAGAAATTTGGCCTTACATGCGGACATCTTGGCTATAAAATTGGTGAGAGTCTCTACGTTTTCTCCACCAACATCTCCGACAGCAAGAACAGACGTCCGATGAAGAAGGTCGGAACCACGGACGTCTGTTCTTGCTGTCGGAACCATCGTGGCCATGAGTTTTGAAACCGATTCGCTTATCGTCGAATTCTATCCTCATGACACGGTGGAGTTGTACACACTGCGGACCAGTCGAGACACGAAGCATACGGTAGATCTGTCTGAGACGGCAAAGGCATCCACGGCCCCCGAGTATGGGACTGAACTGTTCGGGTTTGGAGCACAACGACAGGGAGCCCACGGTAAAGTTCTTCTGTGTGGAGGAGTGCATGCCACGAGGATATTCGTATGCACGATGTGGGCGTTGAATCATTCGACAAAGAAGAGAAAGAACGGGATGGGAAAAAGGCGATTTCTCACGATGGAGATTGCGGGATGATCTACGTCGACGAAAACGGATTTGCGCGTGTAATGCATCACGCAATTACTGGGAACGCAAAGGGATTCTACGCTTCTTGGGGAATTTCACTCCAGCGTGTCATGACAAAACATGCGGAATATTTTGGTATCACTCCTCCGGTTTGCCATGATGTTAGCCGCCTTAAAATCGCATCTCTGCAAGGTTCTGCCCTACAGCCGCCACGCTTTGAAGCTGTGTTCGCCCCCGGAGAAGAGCCAGAAGGTGATCCGGTAGTTTTGGGCAAAGGGTACACCACCTTTGACGTTTTGTTTGCCCCCGGAGAAGAGCCAGACCTAGAAGAAGATCCGATGGTGTAGGGCATCAAGTTTAACGGGCTCAGGGTGGTTAGGTTTCTCCTCCTCCTCCTCCTTCCTGGCTTTCTTATCTGCGACCTCCCCTCCACCTTCTCCAATGCTTGATACGTGATACCGACGGCATCAGCCTGCAGGTAATTTTGAGCCGTAAATGGATCACCAATACGGTACAGTACCGGTACCGGTGGGCATTGGAACCTCAAAGAAATCTATTTCTTGTGCTTGAAACCTAACGGCTTTAAAAATCCTATGCGTGACTGGATCTTTTTCTTTGCTCGGGAATGGCATCAAGCAACATCCAACATCCAACGTCAAGACCTCCTCAAGCAAGACAACTCAGCTTTCCGGAATGAGGGGCTGACAATCTATGCTAGCTAGCTATAAAAGAGAGAGAAGGCGAAACTGATGGTTGGGTCTACCCAGCCGCAACGCATCAGACGAAGCAAGTTTTCATTGGTTCTTTTGATTGGTTTCAATTGTAATTCCTTGCTCGTAGATTCGTTTTCGTCTACTACGCCATCATTTTTCGGGCATCAAGAATCGGTGGATCCTTGGAGCATTCTTTCTACTCCACTCTCCACACGCACCAAGATTGGGCGGTGGAACGAGCAAAGACGACCTGTGTGGCTTCAGCATAGTACAGATAGGCAGTCAGATGAGATAGATGATACCAGTGCGAGACCACCACCACCTCCCTTGTCTAAGTTCCTTCAAGCTGTCTTTTTGATTGCCGGGACCACCGTGGGAGGCGGTTTCTTGGCACTTCCAAAAACTGTGGTGATCCCCTTGGGCGGCTTTTTGCCTTCGGCAGCAGCCCTTGTTCTTGTTTGGGCCTATCTGCTGGCATGTAGCCTCATTCTCTGTGATGGTATCCTTTTGGCACAAGCTCGTCAGCAACAGCAACAACAACGAGACAACAAGCCGAGCATGGCGAATGGCCCATCATCAGTCACTACAACTGCCATTGGAATCCCAAAGACGGCTCAAATAGCGCTAGGTTCCCTGGGATCACAATCTGCAACTCTCTTATTGGTGTCATTGACCGTGGCGACATTGGTCTCACAGTTGTCGAGAGCCGGAAGTTTGCTAGCCAGTCAACTCTCGGAATCCACCAGTCAACCTGCCCTGACAGTGTATCGCTATGGATGCGCACTGGCGACCATGTTTGGTGCTGCCATTACCCATACTCGACGACGAACAGAACAAACACAAAGTGTGGATCATCATGTAACACGGTCCTTCAGAAAAGAAAGAGCGACATCGTTTGCGGACAAGTGCAATTCGGTGCTGACAGTCGTATTTCTCGGTTCGGCGGTGCTGCTCTTTCGAGCCGGTGCCAAAGCGGCCAATTGGTCCGCCTGTTGGAGTACTTCTGGAGAGAGCATCGTGCAACTGTTGCCCAAGGCGTTGACGGCATCGCCCATTATGCTGCAGTTGTTGGTATACGGGGAGATCCTGCCCAATGTTTGTGAGATGCTCGAACAGAATCGTCCCACTATTCGGAGGGCCGTTTGGGTGGGAAGCTCCATTCCCCTCTTGCTTCTGACGGGGTGGGCAGCTCTGGGAGTTGCCTTGATTGGCAACGATGCAATACTCCGGAGCAGCAGGATGGATCCTGTCGACATTTTGATGACGACGACGGGCGGATCCAGTGCCGTACCCGTGCGATTGTTATTGCTGGCCATGAGTGCCATTGGAACCACCATTCTTGGAAGCTTCTTGGCATTGCAGTCGGCGTATGACGACTGGCAAGGCATGCTTCCTTCTACTCGTAGGCGATTCTCCGCGTTCATGGAGAGACCGTGGGTGCGGACACTTGTCATCTCCTTGCCCCCTCTTGCCGTGAGTTGCATATCACCCTCTCTGTTCTTACAAGCCATTGACTTTGCTGGTAGCTATCCGGTCATTTTGCTATACGGGTTCTTGCCACCACTAATCGTACGGCGCTTGCAAGATGACGAAAAATTCGGGAAAACGAAGATGAATAAACTCTATGCTGCCGTTGGCGTACTATCTACTTGCTTGGTTGGGATGAATTTTCTTTCAGATGGAAGTGACATACTAAGAAGACTGCTTTTCCGGCAAACAAGCTAAATTAGTCACTCTTGCTACTAGTACAATAGAGTCGTAGCAGTTTTTACTAATATTATTGTGTGGAAGCCAGAAATAAAATGCCAACCCACCAGATTTGCTTCCAAGCTTCTCCAACAACAAAACTCGCTTCCTAAAACCACCCAGTTTTCACCACCTCATTAGCAAATTGTCGATTGCTTACATATACTTTCCAGCAGCCTAACCTTCTATTTGTAAGCAGGAGATCCAATTCCATCCTGATAGCGTTCTTTGATTGGAGCAAGATTGCAAAAGCGCTTCACGTAGCTAACCACCTTGGGGTTGACTTCCAGGCACTGTGTGTTGACGTAATCTACGTGCCCCCTGGTAAGGGATCGTAGGAAGACAACAGCGTGACAATCAGCAATGGTAGGATTGTCCAATCCAGCCACCAACCACTTGCCACCAGATTTGTCAAGTAATCCTTCCAATCGACCAAGGAACTTGGGCAACTCCTTTTCTACCCATTCGGTACGCAACTTCTTGATTTTTTCTTTTCCTTCATCTGTTTTTCCGAATCCTTCGGGATATCCAAAGCTTTGTGGCATCATGTTGATATACATCGCAGGTTCGAAACTTTTCTTCATATCATCTACCACGCCCAAAGCCTCTTCCACATCATAGAGCTTGTCACGAGGGTAGAGTGTGTCAGAGCAGGTAGCACCCACCCAACGCAACATGGCCATGGATTGTGTCTTGACAGGACCATCATCAATGGTCATGAGTGGGAGGGATCCATATGGCGTCTTGGGCTTGAGCTCTTTCCAATCCGGGAAAGCGATGCGTTCGTCCTCAAACTCCTGACCCGACAACACAAGGGCCAGTCGAATGGGCTCTGCAGCAGCTTCGATACCAAAATAAGTCAGCTTGATCTTGGGCATCTTGTCTTGGTGGTGAATAAGTGAATCACAAAGCAAAATTAAGCAGGAGCTTAGTAGAAGTTTAGTAAAAGAGAGGAGTTGCATCAAATCAACAACAAGGAGGTCGCAGATTTTATGAGACCAGATACGATGGATTTGGGTTGCTGTTGGGTGGTGCGTGGGTGTGGGGAGCGGTGTGGGGTGAGATGGATCTTTGCTGCCACTTCGAAGAACGTCATGGTTGATCGTTGGATCTTTCAATATTTCACACCACTTCGAAGAACGTCATGGTTGATCTTTTCTCTTTTTCAGCTAACCCTAATGCTGGGTGACACAGAGGCTAGGCCCTAACAATAAGATTGCAATGAAGCGTACCAGATACGGTACCATACCGGTACCAAAACCCAACTTTCTGTTCTCCGGGCTTTTCCCTCCGCTCCAAGAAAGGCGGGTTTGTATTGGATATCTATTCAATACTGTACCTTAGCTATCTTACCGTTGGGGACTTTGGGTCCCAACATTCATTGCATGCTCTCTTTTGCTTGGGTTGGGCGAATTCAATGGCCTTCCAGGTCGTCTCCAACCTTTTTAAAAAATGAAACCAAAATTTTATGCAACCAGCTTACCTTCATGGCAGATTGTCTCGCATTTCTCTTGCACCTTAAAATGGCAGCTTTTCTCAGGGTCGGCTCACAGGCTCGCCACCTCCTCGAACATTCTGGGCAATCTCAACTTGATACATTGCTCTTGGACCTTAAAATGGCAGCCAGCTTGGTGGGTGGCTGTCTAGAGGTTTGTGCCTGCACTGCCTTTCGTACCTGCCTATGTTTCCCTCTGCTTTTTCCTTTTGTTGAGTCACACACCCTCCCTCCTGCAAGCAAAGGCTGTAACGTAGCCAAGAGTCTGGAGCATAAAGTACTGATAGCATGACTGCGATCTGGAACCGAGAACATAAGCAAGGTCGTGTGGGGCACATTCGAATAATTATTCGAAAATTGTTTTGTGATCATTCGAATTGAGGCATCTTCAAGGGGTTCTCGCCAAGATCTTTCCCATAACGGTAAAAACAGCTACTACCGGTACATGTACTACACTCCTCACTCACACTTAAGATAAGTGGGTTTAAGATACCGAGTACTCAACTTTTTGGAAATGTTTAGATAACCCGGACACTCAGATTTCCCAAACCAGTAAGATAAGCTACGAGTACTGAGGTCTCAAATCCTAAGCTAATACTAA